CCTGGCCTGGCACGTAAAAAGTGTCAGTTCCTGTCACCTGTTATGGACTACTAGTCCCTCAACTCTTCCTCTCAGTTATCTGCAGCCTGAAGACAGACCCAGGTGTGCTCAATCCCACAGCAAGCGGCACTGGCCTGGCCCCTCATCCCCAAGGCCCACTCTCCTTTCCCCTCTCCCACTTCTGGAAGTTTTGGTGCAAGCCCTTCTTCCCTCCCCATCACTCCCCAAGCCCTTGATATTTGGGGTTCTGGCCCCACTAGCCTCCTAAACACCCCTCTGCACTGCCGGGCCAAGACTGTCAGCCACTGTCATCCGACCCAGGCCCTCGGAAGCATTCGATGCCACTATCCCAAATGCCAATCTCCAACTCTCTGCTCCCTTGGTTTCTGAGACACTGTACCTGACTCCTTCTCTTTCCTGAGCTCCACAAACACCTCCTGAGCACCCCTATGTCTTAGGCTCTGCTGCAGGCATGGTGGATATAGCAATGATCAAAAAGACAAAAACTCCTGGGGCACCTGGGTAGCGCAGTCGGATAAGCGTCTGACTCTTGGTTTTGGCTCAGGTCATGATCTCGCAGTTCACGGGTTTGGGCCCCACTCTGGACTCTGTGCTGACAGCGCAGAGCCTGCTAGGGATTCTTTCTCTCTCTGCCCCTCCCCCACTCTGTCTCGCAAAATAAATAAACTTAAAAAATTAATTAAAACGACAAAAACTCCTGCATTTGCGGAGCTGACGGTCTCGGGATGGGTCCCTCTCCAGCCTTGGCTTATTTTCAGCTCTCTGAAACATGTGGCCACATTTTCCACCCTTCTGGCTTTGCCTCTCACCTAGAGCAACCCCACCCACCCACGTGTGCCTTGGGCCCTGGGCTCTGTCTCCAGTTGCCACTTCTCTCCCGGCTCCACATCCATGTGTGGCCAGTTCCTGACCATGCCCTCTGGCTGCCCCTGGGGCCTCACGTCAGTGTCCAAGCCCCTGACTCCCCTTCTTTCTGACATCCAACCGACTAGTTGCTGGTTCTCGCCCACTGTGGCTCGGTGCTTATCCTCCCTTTTCAGACCTTGTCATCTTGAGCCTGACTTAGATGTCCTCCTACCAGGTCCCCCTGCCTATTCTTGCCCCACCAACCTTCTCTTCGTCAGCAGCCAGATTTTAAACGCAAAAGAGTATTTCGTGTCCGCTGCCGAAGATCAGTCCCCACTGTGTTGAGAATAAAAGCCACACGCGTGACCCAGCTACGCCAACCACCCTGGTTTGCCACCTCTCCTGGGGCTCACAGTGCCCAGTCGCACTGGCCTCTCGGGCCCTGACTCTGCCAAGCTCCTGGCCCACACAGACTTTTGAACATGCACGGCTATCCCTTTGGAACATCTGCCCACGATTAACACCTGCCAAAAGAGCACTCAGGCCTCGGCTCAAGTGTTTCCTTTGCAGAGACCTTCCTCACTCCTCAGTAGAAAGCACCAGCCTCACCTTGTTCTCATAATATCCAGCGTTCTTTTTTCCCTTCTGAGCATTTACCACATTTGCTAACTATATACACATTTGTCCACTTGTTTACTGGGTGCAAGCTTCCAACGCTTTTCCTTCCCACCACAAATCCCCTTCTCCGGTCGAATTCCTCACAAGACATACCTCTTTCAGGAGGCATCACTGACACGCCCAGCCTGGGTCACACGCCTTACGTGGACTACCACAATCCCTCCATCCCGGCCCTGACCCCTCTGCCTGTGCTTCCCCCATCAGGTTACCATCACTCTAAACTGCCGCTGTCTTCTGCTTTCTACTGGTAGTGCATGAGGACAGGAACCAAGGCTGTCTGGGCACTGCTGTGGCCCCGGCAACACCCACCACAGGGCCAGCCAGGCACCTTATTATTATGGTTGAAGACAGGAATGAGCACATGGTGCCTCTGAACCCCCATCACATCCTGGATTATTCCCTTTACAGCCCTAAGAACTCCCCAGATTTTCTTGCTGACTTGCTTGTTCCGAGTTTAGTGTCTGCCTCACCACTAAACTCTGAGTTGTAAGTTAACAAGGACTAGCGCTATGCTAGTTACTACCAGGTACCCAAATTCCAGCAAAGGGCCTGGCACAAGGGGAGCTGAGGCAGGACATGCTGAAAGAATAAATGAGATGTACGCACAGTCACGGAGATGAAGAAGAACTTAAAGAGAGATACAAATTAAGAAAAACGGGAAGAGGGGGTGAACAGTCTAAGATATATAGATTCAAATCTTATGTGAGAAGTAAACATGGTCCTCTGAGCTCACGAAGGGCTTGAACGCTGTCCTACGGAGCGTGGGCGACAGCCGGAGGCCACGGAAGGGTGGGGAGAAGGCAGCTCGCTAACTGCAAATGAATGAAAGTCGTCTTTTCCTGCACACCACACATTATCCCGCCCAAAGTTTTCTTCCAAAGGAATTTCCTAAAGAAAAGAAGAATCGACCCCAACGCGCCCCCTACCCGGACCTGGCATCTTAGCGCTGTGCACACCCTGAAGCTCTAGATCCCTGACCCCGTGACCTCCGACCTGCAGCGACCTCGCCAACTGCCGCGGCAGCCCCGCCACGCCCCCCGCCAGCCCGCCCGATCGCCTCGACCGGCCACGTACGCCACTTACGCTGCCGGGGCGTCCCCGCCGCCGCCAAGCCCGCCGGGTGCATCCTTCACCGCCGCAGCCGCTGCCGCCGCCGCCACCGCCCCAGCCGCTGTTCGAAATGTGCCCGCCCGGCTCCCGTAGCCACGCCCCAGCGACGGCGCCACAGCCAATAGGCATAACGATCGCATAGAGGCCACGCCCCTCGCGGAGGCCTGGACCAGTTGGCAGCGGGCAAGAGGCGGGGAGCGGAGACCCGTGGTGTAAGGCGAGAGTCAGCACTAAGACGGGTAGGTGGGCGGAGCCGAGGACAATCCAGGAGTAGGCGGTCTCGCGCATGACGAGAAATGTAGGTATCGGGAGAGGAGACTTCTGGGAAATGGAGTTCTCTATATAGACGGACGCTCAATTTGTATCACAGAGAGCACTGGAGAGCCAGAGAAGGGTGTGGAGCAGGAGAGGAGAGATCCATTTGTGTTCTCGAGGGCCTAAGAGGAGTTATGCAGACTCTTACGCTTATACAATTAAAATTACAATTTTAATTTTGTATTAAAGTGAATACATAGAGTGAGAAGAGGACACCCAATAAGTCCGGTAGGAAGAACCAGGGGTCTTTCTTTGGAGGTATCTTTAGACATTTACCCAGGGATTCATAAAAATGCTCTTGCGTTGTGACCTGGCTTCCCCTGTCTGCCAAAACCACTCTGCAACCTCCAGCAACACATCACACACACCCGCAAGTGAGGAGCCTTAAAAGTTAGGTTTCCTCAGTCTTCTCTCTGTCCCTCAGTCTCCCCCTTTTCTGTCCCTCGGTCTCCTCCACTTATCTCAGGCAAAAATAATGGTAGAAGTGACTTCTGGGCAGTGATAGCACTCCAGAAGGATGTCAGCAAGCGTCCCTGTCACTGTGGCTTTCCCTTTCCTCCTCTGAGATCTTGTCTTTTCTAGGAAACTTGAGGACTGTTTCTGGTTTCTCAGTTATGAGTCCTGGCTCATTCGCGGTCCTTTTACATGAGTGAGGCTCCCCCATTCTCCTTCTGCACCTCTGGCGTAGCATCTATCCCTCTGGCTCCACCACCATTTCTTCACCTTCAGTTCTCCCTTCTAAGTTCTTCCGTGACTATTTGTAATGTTCACAGCATTTTATTAATAAAGCAAGTGTTTTGGCTTCCCGTTGGCCTCATATTTACCCCTTACCAGTTTTGGGATTAGTCCATTTTTAAGCCTAAATATTCTCATCTGTTTAATGGGCATAATACAGGAGAGGATGAGGATTCAGTACAAGCCCACTGTGTACACAGGACCCGGCATATTGTAAGTCTTTGATCACTGGCAGCTACAGTTACTGGTTTTATTATCAAGTGTCTCTTCCTGTGGGTTGTCAGCCTCAAGTTGGGCTCTGCCCCTAGAACTGCCACAGTTTCATAAATAGAACCAGCTAGGGTGTGTCTGAGCTGGGCGCTAAGCCCCACTCCTCTGCCATTCTGATGTGGTGGGGATCCTGGCTGCCCTCCAAAGGCCTGAAGGAAGAGTGCTGAGTTACAGCTGGAGGGGGATGTGAGGAACAAACAGGGAACGGGGAAGGAAAATTTTCCCCTTAAACAGAGGTGTGATTCTGGTTCTGCCAGGGAGACTCCGGCTCACTCATATTCACCTTTTTTTTTTTTTTTTTTTTTTTTTTTTTAACCAAATTACCTTTAATGTCTCAGCTCAGATATCCCCTTCCTCGGGTAGTTTTCTTGACCTCCCCAAACTGGATCAGGTTACCTCTTTGGGTTCCTGTGGGCTCCACAGTCCTTTAGGCTTCCCCCATCCCAGCTCCAGTTACTCTCCTGTGCTTCCCTGATCACACACCTGACCCTCTGGGCTGTGGCTCTGTTGAAGCAGCAACAGGGGCTGAGAGCTGAGAGCCCCCTGAGGGCAACGTCTAGAACTTGAGGACAAGGTCTAGAACTGTCTTGGTCGCTGCTGTATTCCCAGCATCCCTCACCAAAGGGCCAGGCACAAAGTAGGCGCTGAGCAAAGATTTGAGCTAAGGCACCCCACTCTGTCCATGGGGGCACAGACGACGCCTGCCTCTGTGGTGTCCCTCATTATACAAGCGTCCCCTCCGGGTGGACGCAACCAGAGCACGACGTGGCGAATGGAGCAAGGACTGGATTTCAGTGTGTCCTCTTGTCCCCTCAACCACGAGCCTGGATGCAGTGCGCGATTTTGCCGCCCGGCGCGATGGCCCTGAGGAGTTGGGGAGCAACTTCTCGGTCTGCGAGAGGAAAAAAGTTAGGCTTTTCTCTAACATAGGGAGCCGCGACTCCTGGGCGGAAGAGAGGGAAGGAATGGAGGGAATGGAGGAACACCCCCCCCCCGCCCCCTCCGCCCCCTCCGCCCCCTCCGCCCTTCCCGTCCCGTTGGACTCCTGGGTTCGGGAACGCGCGGCTCCGCCCTCACACCTGGCGCTGGGGCGTGCCTCAGTTTACCGGAGGCGGGGCGTTCCTCCACCCCCGCCCCCCTCCTTTTCCCTCTTCCTCTTCGGGGCGCTAGCAGCCGCGCCTCGAGCACTGCCGGAACTGAAGCTGGGCTCCTGGCGGCCCGGAGGCGGGGGCCACGTCAGCGGGGCGGCGGGGGCCGTGCGAGCGCCGGTCGCGGCGGGCGCCATGCGGCGGGGCGCACTCCTGGCGGGCGCCCTGGCGGCCTACGCCGGGTACCTGGTGCTGGGCGCGCTGCTGGTGTCGTGGCTGGAGCGGCCGCACGAAGCTCTCCTCCGGGCCGAGCTGGAGACGCTGCGCGCGGAGCTGCTGCGGCGCAGCCCGTGTGTGGCCGCCCCCGCCCTGGACGCCTTCGTGGAGAGGGTGCTGGCGGCCGGACGGCTGGGACGCGCCGCTCTCGCCAACGCTTCGGGGCCCGCCAACAACTCCGACCCCGCCTGGGACTTTGCCTCCGCTCTCTTCTTCGCCAGCACGCTGGTCACCACCGTGGGTACGTGAGCGCCGCCCCACCTGGGGACCCGGGAGTCATCACGAAATACTCTTACCCCAGCGGATCACTCGCAGTCCGCTCTGGAACTAGAATCCCCTGGAATATATGGCCCCCCCCCCCCCCCCCAACGAGGATCCAGGACCCACACCGGTGGGATCCGCCTCCCTTGGGAAGCCCCCATCCAAGCCCTTCCTCCCAGCAGGAAACCTCCCCCGTCCCAGTTCCCTCCTGGACTAGGGCTGCCCTCAGAGTACCTTCCAGGGAGCATCTGGGACCCCATTCCTCTGCCGGAAACCCCTTGGAGCTCCATCCATCCAGTCCCCTCTGGGCCTAGGACTACTTTCAGAGACCTCTAGCGAAGACCCAAGACCTTCCACCTGAGACCCTCTCCCCCTCTGGACCCGGACCTCAACCACACAAGGACCTCTGCCCTTCTCTCTGGGCTCAGACCGCCATTCCCTCCAACACTATCTCCTGAGTCTCCAGATATGTCCTTCGGGGATGCCCCTTGGGAAATCCTACCCCAGGCCCCTCCTGACCCTGGTGCCCCAGCGAAGACCCTGAATCTCCAACCCTCTCAGGGCACCATCACGACAGACTTGACTTCCAGTACAGACCCCTCAACAAGGACCAGGGCCCCGGGTCGGTGATTTCCAACCCCTCTGGACCTAGACCAGTCCCCAGCAAGGGCCCCCATCCTCCTCCAGACCAAGGACCACCCTCATCCTCATATTCCCCATACTCCCTAGCAGGCAGCCCTGACTGCAGACACAGGACCCCTCCCTCTTGACATCTCCCCTGTACTGGGAGCCTCCAAGGCAGGGTTTTCCTCCCAGAAGGGCCACCCCCATTCCCTCTGTACCTGGGACTTCCAATTCAGCAGCTCCCAACTGTGGATGTATGAGAGGGACCCGTCATGGTGGGAGCTAGAGCACCTCTAGGAAGGGCCGGTGACCTTCCAACCAGAAGCTGGTCAGCCAGGACTTCCACCTCTCCAGTCCCAGAACCAGCTCCAGCAAAACTTCTAGCACTTTCCAAACTAGAGACTCTCCATAGGAGCCTCTTTGAACACCAGAACCCCTAGATGAGACTCTCACCACTCTCTGGACCCTCGTACCCCTCAGTAAGAGCCCCAGAGCCACCTGGACCTTCTCCCAAGGACCCCAGCGCCCTCTGCACACACTGTCTTTGAGAGCCGCATCCTGCTTCACACACCCCCCTCCACAGGAGGCCAGCTGAGGGACTGTGCTCTCCGTACCTGCTACCCCTGTCCTGAGACTCCCCTGCCCACCCTGGATCGCCTAAGAATGGGAATCTTCTGGAGATCTGACACCCCTCCGGTCTTCTCCAGACCCACAGATGGGACCCCCATCTCCACCCCAACACTGCCCCAGCCTGCTTTGCGCCTGAAATTCTCCCTTCTATCAAGGATGCTCCAGGACCTCAGCACCCTGGAACCTTCCCCAATATCCACTCATGACCATTACTGCTTTCCACCCTTCACACTCTCCTCCAGGACCTGGGACACCCGTCCCCTCCCATCATCCCTTTAGCACTGTCTACCTGCATCAGGTCCCCTCAAGCATCCTTGGGCTCAGAAGCCCCCTTGCCTGACGACTCCTGTCCTGGTCCCATTTGTGATTCACAAGATGTCCCCACTGGTGCCTGTCCCCTCCTTCCTCTGAACTCAGGATGCCAGCCCAAAATAGGATCCATTTCAAACCAGGGCACCGGGACTCCCCAGATCCCCTTCTCAGAACACCACCGCCCCCCCTGCCTCCACCAGATGGAACCGACCTCCTCCCCCCAGCCCTACCCTGAAAGTCCCTTCTTGCTTCGTGGCCAGACCTGGGAAATTCCTTTGTTGTCAGGTTCTGCGGGTCCTCCCCACTGCCCTTACCTAGCCCCCAAACTTCCTCTTTGTCTCTGCAGGGGATTTGGACTGGGGGAGGAGACTGCGACAGGCCCAGACTCTTAACTCCCCTTCCTGCCAGAAGTAGCAGGTGGCCTAACCTTTGGTGCCACCCATTGTGTGGTGCCCATTGTGTGGACCAGCAAGCCAGGACCACAGACAGCAGAGCCAGGATGCTTCTCCCAGACTCTCTTCTACCAAGCTGGCCGGGCCGGCCCGACCTGCTTCTGGGCTTCACTGGTCACATCAGTGTCTCCCTTTGCCTCCTCCCAGATCCTGGCTTCTGACAAGTCGCCCCAGGCAGGACAGGTGCAGAAGCCAAACTCAAGGCAGGCACATGCTGGCTTCGGTTCCCACTCAGCTGCTGCTCCTCTGGGCCTCAGTGTCCCCCCTCATCTCTTGAATGGAGATCATCGATCACACTCCCCATCTCACAGTAGTAGTGAAACCCATGGAGTACTTAGCACACACGGGCTTTAACTAGGTCAGTGCAGCAGCCTTGTGGGGCAGGTGCCATTTGCGGCAGTAGAAACTGCAGTAGAAACTTTTTCAGCAGTAGAAACTGAAGCCCAGAGGGGTTGGATGATTTGCCCAAGACCACACAGCTAGGAAGGCGTAGAGAGATGTGAACTGAGGCCATGAGGCCTCAGAGCCCCATGCTTTTAACCGGTACACCATGCTAGGTTTCATAGGCTTGCGTGAAGAAGGGTAATATTCCTGTGTATTGTGAAAGAAGAGTTTATTCTTTTTTTTTTTTAAGTTTATTTATTTATTTATTTTGAGAGAGAGCACGAGTGGTGGAGGGGCAGAGAGAGAGGGGTCAGAGGATCAGAAGCAGGCTCCGTGCTGACAGCAGAGAGCCCCGTGTGGGGCTTGAACTCAGGAACCATGAGATCATGACCTGAGCTGAAGGCAGATGCTTAACCTTAATTGACTGAGCCTCCCAGGTGCCCCCAAAAGTTTATTCTGATACTTGTTAAAAATGGTAAGTTACTGGGGCCCCTGGATGGCTCGGTCGGTTAAGTGTCCAACTCTTGATTTCGTCTCAGGTCATGATCACAGCTCAGGTCATGATCTCACGGTTTGTGAGATCAAGCCCCATGTCGGGCTCCACACTGAGCAGAACTTGCTTGGGATTCTCTGTCTCCCCCTCTCTCTCTGCCCCTCCCCCACTTGCTGTCTCTCAAAAATAAACAAACATTTTTAAAAAATGGTAAGTTATTGCAATAGGGGAGTGAGACTGACCTCAATTCTGAATATAGCAAAAACAGCTGGAGATTTAGAGCCAAGAGTGGAGTGAGGGGTCAGTGGATAGAAAAGTTACCAAGAGGCGACACAAGGGGAGGGGGATTCTTAGTAAACTGGTTTAGAATCCCTGCCAGAACCGGGCCTAGTCAAGAAGAGAGCTCAGAGGAACCTGGCTGCCGTTTGGTCAAGGAGGGAGTCCTTGCGCTGCTGGTAATACCTGAGGTTTACTGAGCCTTGGCTATCATTGTCATTGCTGGTGAAGCCAGGAGGCCTGGATTCATCTAGAGAGGTAGAAACCACAGCGTCTCTGGTTTTGCCTTAGGCCAGCATCTTTGGAGGAAGACCTGGGGCCTGGAATCCATCCAGGCAGCCTTGCTGCGGTTGAGGCCAGGCCGGGGTGGAAGAGTCAGCCCACCCGGAACTGGGAACTGGGAACGGGAGAGAGGAAGTGAGTGTTACAGTCATGCTAACTCTTTCCGTGCCCTTGCTAAGTGCTATGCCCAGTTCCAGCCTGGAAGGATTATTGCAACTGTGCTTGAGGAAAGGGATTGTTTTGAGCCCATTTTGCGGTACTCAGAGCAAACTGAAGCTCTGAGGGAAGAAACTCCTTGGCCAAGGTCACACAGGGAATAAATGGCAAAGCACTGAGTTGGACTCTGCTCTGTGAGGTAGTCAGTTTGAGGCTCACAGCCTCCGTTCTATGCTAACTCCATGATGTCCATGATGTTTATAAGGTTTTTGTGTCATTAGCAAACCTGTCATTTCAGCTGGGCCACTGGAGTTTCTCCATTCAAATCCTTGTAATTAATGAAGGTTGGAGCCATATGTGAGGTGACAAACCTCACATAACAGTTGCTTAAAAAGATGAATGTTTGTTTCTGGCTCATATTCAAGGTTGTCGGTCCAAGACCGGAACAGTGCTGCATCATTAGAGACCCTTGTGCTCCTCTGTGTAGTTTCCATTCACAAGGTCACCTCATGGTCCAAGATGGCTGCTCAACCCCAGCCTTCATGTCTATGTTCCAGGCAACAGGAGGAGGGAGGAAAGAAAGGGGATAGGCATTCTCCGCTTTTAAAGGACACTTGTTTTTAAGTTTATTTATTTTGAGTGAGAGAGAGAGAAAGGAGGGGTAAAGAGAGAAGGAGAGAGAGAATCCCAAGCAGGCTCTGCACTGTCAGTGAAGTGCCCGACGTAGGGCTCGAACTCACCGACCACAAGATCACGACCTGAGCCGGAATTAAGAGTCAGACGTTTAACCGATTGAGCCACCCAGGCACTTGAGGACACTTTCTAGAAGTTGCTTGCTTCTCTCGTGTATAACTCATCGACCAGAAATTATTACAGAGTCATGCCGAGCTGCACAGGGGGGATGTCTTTATCCTAGGTGCCCATGTGTCCAGCAAGACCCAGAGGATTCTTTTTTACCACAATTTTTTAAAATGGTGGTAAAACATACATAACAAAATGTACCGTCTTAGCTGTTTTTACGTGGACAGTTCGGTGGTATTCAGTACATTCATATTGTCATACAACCGTCACCACTATTCATCTCCAGAACCCTTTTCATCTTGCAGATCTCAAACTTACAGGGCACCTGGCTGGCTCAGTCCGTAGAGCATGGGACTCTGGTTCTTGGGGTCACGAGGTCAAGCCCCACGTTGGGCTTACTCAAAACCCCCCCCACACACACACATACTGAAACGATACCAGTCAAACAATTATCTCCCCATTCCCTGCTCTCCCCAGCCTCTGGCAACCACCATTCTAATCTTTCTGTTTCTATGAATTTGCCTACTTTAAGCACCTCCGACAAGTGGAACCCTATAGTATTTGTCTCTTTGTGATTAGCTTGTTTAACTTATAATGTCCTCAAGGTTCATTCGTGTTGTAGTATGTGTCAGAATGTGCTTACTTAAAAACGTTTTCTTAAATGTTTATTTATTTTTGAGAGAGAGCTTGCATGCGCATGAGCGGGGCAAGGGGCAGAGGGAAAGGGGGACACGGAACTCTACACTGTCAGTGCAGAGCCCGATGCAGGGCTGGAACCCATGAAATGTGAGATCAAGACCTGAGCCGAAACCAAGACTCAGATGCTTAACCCACTGAGCCACCCAGGCACCCCTCAGTTCTTTTGAGTATATCAAAACCAGGGACCTTTTTGTATGGAAGACAGGCGCAGATGAATGTCTGCTCCTGTGTGGGGTGTTTCCACATTTTCATTGATCACAGGGTTGAATCTGTGGTCTTTGGGGCGAGACGTTTTACTGTCAACATAAACCAGGGCCCTTACCACCCCAGTCACACTTCTGACCCTTTGGTTTGATTTTTTTGTAAAATGAAAAGAGATTTTATTTGAAAAAAAAAATTTTTTTAACATTTATTTATTTTTGAGAGACAGGGAGAGCGTGAACAGGGGAGAGGCAGAGAGAGGGAGACACAGAATCGGAAGCAGGCTCCAGGCTCTGAGCTGTCAGCGCGGAGCTGGGTGTGGGGCTCAAACTCACAGACCACGAGATCGTGACCTGAGCTGAAGTCAGACGCTTAACCAGCTGAGCTACCCAGACACCCCAAATAAAAAGAGATTTTAAATTATACATTGCCAAAGTAAGCCAGTATCTCCAACACCTGAATTCCCCTTTATCATCTTTCTGGGTTTTTTGATTTTTTTTTTTATAATTTTTTAAAATGTTTTTTTATTTTTGAGAGAGAGAGAGAACAAGTTGGGGAGGGGCAGAGAGAGATGGGGACACAGGATCTGAAGCAGGCTCCACGCTGTCAGCACTGGGCCTGATGTGGGATTTGAACTCTCGAACTGTCAGATCATGACCTGTGTGGAAGTCGGAGGCTCAACTGACTGAGCCACCCAGGTGCCCCCATCTTTCTGTTTGCAGCACTCACACCCACGCTAACCTTCCTGTGTTCCCGCAGTCCTCTGGTGACCCAGTGGGACTTGGCACACCTATTTTAGAGAAAGAGATACTAAGGCTCTGAGCCAAACTAGAGCCTGTACCCTTCATTCATTATTTTGACTATTGATCAAGTGCCCACTATGTGCCAGGTACCAGGGCTATGGCGGGGAACAAAAGAGGCAGAAGCCCCTGCCCTCTTGGAGCTGCACCCTAGTGGGGAGACACTAAGCAAATAAGGAAACCACATAGTATGTCAGAAGGTTGAAGTGCCATGAACACAAACCAAAAATAACAACAGTTAGGGAAGAAGGTATAACAGTTCAGGTAAGGTGGTGAGGGAGGGGAGGCCTCACTGAAAAAGCTGACATTTGAGCAAAGACCTGAAGGAAGGAGAGGGAACCAGCCCTGGGGGAAGAGCTTTCCACGGGGAAGGAACAGTCAGTGCAAAGGCCCTGAGGTGGGAGCCGTGCTGCCTCGTTAGATCGTGCGGGGTCTTGTGGGTCATGATGTCCTTTTACTTGAGTGGGATGGAGCCAAAGGGGGGCTCTAAGTGTGGGAGGATCATGACCTCACTCAGGTGTTCATCGGGTCCCTCTGGCTGTGTGTGGGGAACAGACTCCTGGCAAAGGTCAGGGGAGAAGGGAGACCAGGGAGAAGGCTGCTGATTAGACAGGCCCAAGGTGGGGCCATGGGACTGAGGTGCGGTAAAGCGAGTGGGTTCAGGATCTATATGAAGTTTAAGACAACAGGACTCACTGACAGGTGGAATATGGATGTGAGTGAGAGAGTCAAGGACACGAGGCTCACGGTCTGAGCAGTGGAGGGTTGGATGTGCCGTTGATGAAGTTTTAGGGTGATGGGAGAGGGGGTTGGAGCTGATGGCCAAAAAAGAATTCTTGAAGACATCTTTGGTACAAAAAGGTGATTTCATTAAAGTACAGGGACAGGACTCATGGGCAGTTAGGCTAACTGGTTATATACCATGGACTTGGGGGAGGTAAAGTCAAAAGAGAAATTTCCAAAGAGACTTTCATATGCTAAGGAAGACTCACCGCTTACTGGAGGCCTAGCTATAGTCAAGCTAAGGTTGTTTTTCCCTCCAGTAAAGCATTAACATTAAGACAGTAGGGAGTTCCTGAACTTTAGGCCATTGATGCGATTGCCTCTTTCTCATAAACTGTTGGAGACTCTTCCCAGTTTAACCATTTGATTTTTGTCCTTTCCTGTTTTGGGGTAGCCTGGAGCATCCAAGGAATATCACACATACCCCCCCTAGCGGCAGGGGGGGAGGGCAGGTAGGCTAGCTTGTACTCGGCCCTCGGCCTGCCCTGTGTTCCCTCATCACCATCACTTGAGATGAGAGACTGTGGGAGGGGCAGTTTCCAGGGTGAGATTAAGCGTCGCTTTAGGGTGGCCGCGGACTCCCAAACGGAGGTGCCAGGCGAACAGAAAGCTTTCCCCTTGCTCCCGCAGGCTACGGGTACACAACGCCGCTGACCGATGCGGGCAAGGCCTTTTCCATTGCCTTTGCGCTCCTGGGCGTGCCGGCCACCATGCTGCTGCTGACGTCCTCGGCCCAGCGCCTGTCGCTGCTTCTGACCCACGCACCCCTCCTCCGGCTGACCACGCGTTGGGGCTGGGACCTCCGGCAGGTGGCCTGCTGGCACCTGGTGGTCCTGCTGGGAGTCGTAGTGACCACCTGCTTCCTGGTGCCGGCTGCCATCTTCGCGCACCTCGAGGAGGGCTGGAGCTTCCTGGACGCCTTCTACTTCTGCTTCATCTCTCTGTCCACCATCGGCCTGGGTGACTACGTGCCCGGAGAGGCCCCCGGCCAGCCCCACCGGGCCCTTTACAAGGTGCTGGTCACAGGTGAGTAGAGCGGCCGGCCGGGGACCAAGCGTGGGGCACGGCCTTGTCCCGGAGGGTCGCGGGGGGCCCGGCCCTGTCCCGGGGGTCTGAGTTCCCCCGCCGCCCCTCCGCCGTCTCCGCAGCCTACCTCTTCCTGGGCCTGGTCGCCATGATGCTAGTGCTGCAGACTTTCCGCTACGTGTCCGACCTTCACGGCTTCACGGAGCTCATCCTGTTGCCCAGTCCTTGTCCCGCCAGCCCCGGCGAGGATGACGACGATCGGGTGGACATCGTGGACCCGCAGCCGGAGTCGCAGCAGCAGCTGGCCGCCGGCTCCCACGCCGACTACGCCTCCATCCCCAGGTAGCCGAGGCCGGGAGGACCTGGCCCGTGGCTGAGGGGGGCCACGTGACTGGCGCTGCCGTCCTGGACCGTCCGCGAGTGCGTGCCCGAGCTCTCGAGGCACTGCCACCGGCCGTCCGTCCTTTGTTTGACGTGTCCCTGTCCCAGGTTCCACCGCCACCGCCTCGTTCTCCCCCCCCTGCCCCATCTCTCACTCCCCACACCCTGGGCTCTCTGGCTTCCCTCTCACTCTCCTTGTGTCTCATTCTTTTACTGACTCCACCTGCCCCTCCTAGCAGGCTCTGGGCTCAGACCTCATTTCGGGCACTCGACTGGTCACTACACTGTGGGCAAGCGGCTGCCCTTGTCTGAGCGCGGATGTCCTCGTCTAGTCAAATGGAAACGATACGTCCACTCATCCCCAACCCCCTCCCATGAGCAGGCCCCAGGCTGAGCGGTGCTAGGGACACTGCAGTGGTTGAGATGGCCCCGGGCCCTCCTCTCACGGGTTCCTAGTCCAGCGAGGTAGACAGACCTGTCCCCACACAGTGACGACCCAGAATAGGCAGGACTGCGGTGGGGGAGGCAGGGTGGCCGGCAGTGCGTTCGAGAAGGCCCGGGCAGAGCGGGCAGGGCTGAGGTGGATGGAGGAAGCACGGGGACTCTACCCGATCCAGCCCGCAGGGTCAGGGAGATCTTTCTAGAAGAAGGGTTAACAACTCGGCCCTGAAATCTGAGGAGTAGTCAGGGGAAGAAGGTGGACCTTGTTTTATCTCAAGTGTCCCTCAGGAGCAAGACCCATGTGGCGAGCGCAGGGGTCGGGCCTGGGCCATAGAGCCCTCCTCAGCAGCCTGGCAGGCAGGAAGCTGAGACAGGATCCGAATGGCACGGACGCCCCCGGAACAGCTGTTCCCGTTTCCCGGGCACTGACTGCGTGAGTACCCTGGGCCCTGGAGCCAGCCTGCTTGGGCTCAGACCCCAACTCAGCTGTGTCGTGCCGCTGTCCTCGGGCAGTCACTTCCCCTCTGTGATTCTCAGTTTTCCTCATCTGTAAAATGGCAATGATCGCAGTAGTTACTCCGAAGATGACTTCACAGAGGCTGCCGTGTTATGCTGGGACGCTTTCTTTGGCCAGGTTCTGTTCAGGGTTCTTTACACACGAGGAAGATGATGTCATCATCCTTTTCCACAGATAAGGACACTGAGGCACTGGGCGTGGAGGTCCCTTGTCTTAGACACAGAGCTGGGAGGGGACTGATTTTCTGTATACTGCCCCCAGATTTGCCTCCTTCCAAGATGGTACATCAGTCATAGTTCTTGGCGCCACAGGCCCTTCTACTCAACTGTTACCTCTACCAAGCCCCGTGGAGGTTACAGAGGGGATAGGGCGTTTGAGCTGGACCTTGATAGCACTCAGTAAGAGAGGACACTTGGAGGCATTCCAGGCAGAAGGAACCATGTGTGTCTAGAGGGAGGAAAGCATGTCAGATATCAGCTTCTGGCAAGTGGTTTACTCCAACTGGACTATGGGGTGAACGGGGGAAGGAGAGGAGGAGCGGTGGACCTGCCTGCATCTTAAGTATCCTTAAATGACCAGCTTGGGAACTTGGCGTCTTTCTCGAGGCTACTAGAGAGCCATGGAAGGATGTTGAGCAGGAGAGGGCTATGGTTAGGTTTGGGCTTTAGCTGCTATGTGGAGGTGGACCAGAAGGGGAAGACTGGGGCCGGGTGCACAGGGGAGGCTGGGACAGGAAGGGAGCGGGAGATGACGGGGCTGGGCAGGGCTGAGGAAGGGGGGAGACGGGCAGTGGAGGTCATGCTCGGGAGGCCAAGTGGACAGGCCTTGTGTGGGCCTTACAGACTTGGGAGGGACAAGGCCAGGCAAAGGCCCCAGGATGGTTACCTGCCCCTGAGATGGGAACGTGGGAGAAGACAACAGGTTTGAGGGGAGACACTGAGGCTTGCTTAGAACATGGTGGGTGTGAGGAGCTAAAGGGACATCCAGAGGAAGGCATCAGAAGGTCGCAGGAACCTCTGGGCAGAGCCTCAGGGTGTGGTTGAGGCTGGAGACAGATGGGGGAACCGAGGCCCCGAGTGTAGGTGTGGCAGCCATGGGTGGGAGGAAGAGAGAAGACCCACCTTGAGAAGTCAGCCTTTGGGTATTTATATATTCATGTCAATAAGGAAACGCTTCGGATGAGCACTGGGCATTATATGGAAGTGATGCATCACGAAATTCTACTCCTGAAACTAAATTACACTATATGTTAACTAACTAGAATTTAAATAAAAACTTGAAACATTAAAAAAAAAAAAAAAAGTGAGAGCTTTGGGCTGCAGATAACAAGATCCTGACCAGCACTGGCTGAAACAATGAGATGATTTCTATTGCCCATCACCAGAGTTGGGGAGAGCTCTGGGCAAGAGACAATCCACAGCTCCAGGAGGGTCTTGGGGCCTTAGGTTCCCAATCTCCTTGTTCAGCAGCCCTCAGCTGAAGACTTGGCTCCACTTGGGCTCTTCTCATGGCCCCAAAGTGACCGCCACAGGTCTGGGCATCACAACCAGACACAATAACTTTTAGTGCAAGAAGAGGGGGGCATCTCTCCCATATTGTCCGTTTGGAAGCAAGGAAATCTTTTTCTAAGTGCATCTCCCCAAAGACTTCCTCCTCTATCTCATTGGTTAAAATTAGCTCACATGCCCATTCTGAACCAATCATTGGCCAGAGTGATGGAACCACCATGATTAACTTGGATGCCTCAGGATTCCCCTGCCACCTGAAACTGAGGCTGGGGCTGAGATTTTGGTCTGGAGGCTGGTGAATGTGGGAACAACACTGGGCTTCTTCTTCTTCTTTTTTGTTGTTGTTTATTTTTGAGAGAGAGAGAGAGCAGAACATGAGCGGGGATGGGGGGCAGAGAGAGGGGGACACAGAATCTGAAGCAGGCTCCAGGCTCTAGGCTCCGAGCTGTCAGCACAGAGCCCAACCCAGGGCTCAAATTCACGAATTGTGAGATCATGACTTGAGCCAAAGTCGGACGCTTAACCCACTGAGCCACCCAGGCGCCCCGCACTGGGCTTCTATTAGAAAGGCAGAAGGGGGAGAATGGACAGATGTTGATTAACTGGCAGTCAGGGTCATCATGTACAATTGGGCAGGTTGGGAACGACATAAGGGATGTCCGGATGGCAGAGTGGAAACAAACAGGGGCTGAAGTTCAAGGCTGAAGATGACAGAAAGGGGCTTCTTTTTCTAGTTAACATGAAGGCCCCATATGGCAAGCAGTGACCCTTTTTTCCCTTAATGTTTGTTTATTTTTGAAAGAGAGGGCATGAGTTGGGGAGGGGCAGAGAGAGAGGGGGACGGAGGATCTGGGGCGCGGGATGGGGGGGGAGGAGGGGCGGGGACAGCGCAGGCTCTGCACTGACAGCAGAGAGCCCAATAAGGGGCTCGAGAGATCATGACCTGAGCTGAAGTCAGATGCTCAACCGACTGAGCCACCCAGGCACCCCAGCAGTGACCTTTCAACTGGTGTCCTCACACAAGAGAGAGGAGCTTACAAAGGAGACAGAAAAAGGAGACCCATAGAGGAGTAGGAAAACCAGGAGGGTAGGGAGAATCCATAAGAGATGAGAGAAATTTAAGGAGAATTCACCATTGTCCAATTATGCTAAAAAGTTACACAAGATTGTTTTGATAACAGTGATAGAAAACCCATAGGATTTACTATGTGCAGGGTGCTGTTCTAAGCTCTTGATACATAATTTATTTAACCTTCTCAGCAACTCTATTAGGTACATTTTCTACATGTGACAGTGGAGGAAAGGAGGCCCAGAGAGGTTAAATAGCCTGCCCAAGGTCACACAGAAAGTGCAAGACTGGGATCTGAGCAAAGTTTTGGTTGGTCACCTTGTCCCCCAGGAGCACAGAAAACATCTGCTGTCTAGCTCTTTGCCTGCTTCCTGGCTCCTCGTGGTCCACCTTGCTGCTAAAGTCAGCAGCTGGCTGGGGAAGGCAGTCACTTCTCACCTTGCAGGAGGTGCCTGTGTGATCTGCTTCTGCTCCTCACTGCTTCTCCTTCCAGATTCCTCTAGAACAAGAAACCAGGCCCTGTTCAATCCAACACCCAGGGTGGGTGGGGGGGGGGAAGCGTAGGCTAAAAATTCGAAAGGTACAAAAGACTGTACAGTGGAAAGTCAGTCTTTCTCCTACACCCAGGCTGTGTTGACCGATTTCTCAGGCCTTCTGGGCAAATAGCAGCAGTATTCATGTGTGTGCATGTGTGTGTCATTTATTTTTTCCTTCACTCTGTTCAGGTGGTATCTAGTATGATAAGGTGGTTATAATTGCAGACTTTACAGGCAGAGTCCCTGGGTATAAGTCTTAACTCTGTCACTCTCAAGCTCTGTGACTTTGGGCAAGTGATTTCACCTCCTTGTGCCTGAGTTTGCTAATCTGTAAAATGGGATGATAACAGCACCTACCTCATGGACTTCTTAGAGAGTTAAGCAACTTAATATCTGTAAATCTCTCAGACTAGTGTCTGGTGCTCAATAAATTGTTGACTAATGATTACTGCCTTCATCTCTGCACCTTAATTTTTTACATTATATAAGTCATATATATCTATATCTATCTATCTATATCTTTTATATACTTTTTAAAGTTTATTTATTTTGAGAGAGAGAGAGTGAGCAGCAGAGGGGCAGAGAGAAAGGGGGACAGAGGATCCAAAGCAGGCTCTGTGCTGACAGCAGCGAGCCTGATGTGGGGCTCGAACTCATGAACTGGGAGATCATGACCTGAGCCGAAGTTGGACGCTTATCCAACTGAGTCACCCAGGCACCCTTATATACTTTTTCTAGCACTAGTCTCATTTCTGCACCTTGCTTTTATCACCAACCCAGTAAACCCATCAACCCAGTAGGAGATCCTTCCTGAGACATACGAGTAGGTCTCACATCCTTTTTCTATGTCTGCAGTGCCTCCTCTAGGACACACATCCCATAAATTACCTTAACATCTCACTAATGGACATGTGGGTGTTTGCCAATCTTTTGCTGACATAAATGATGCTGGTCTAACAGAGGAACCTCCCTCTGGTAGGGCTGCATTCCTGAGTGGGGTGTGGGGAGGGGTGCCCTCTGCACCGAAGCCTCTGTGACTCTGTTCATGAGTGTAGAAGGGCTCAGGTACATAGCCTGTGAGTTTCTTCCCTCAGATGAATTCACTCGTCTGTGGCCTGTGGGGCTGGGGCAGTGGGGATAGACTTCCATCAGCTGT